TTTAATTATGCTGAGAACTTACCTAGAGTTGCTTCATTTTCAGATGGTGGCTCTGTTATTGTATGGTAAAGTGAATTATAAGATGGAAGCGGTTTTGGAGTTTATGCATAATTGATTAGTCCAGAAGGAATTGCAATTAATTAGATTATACAAGTCAATATAAACACAAAGAATTCATAGTTCATGCCTGATGTTACTATTTTACCTAATAATAATGTAATTATAATATGGGCTGATGGAGATATTAATAATTAATCTGAACTCTATTTCTAGATATTTGATTCAGAACTGAATAGAATTGGAACTCCTACATTTGTTGATAATTTGTCCATCTAATATTTAGAATATTATGATAGGCCATTTGTAGTTCAAGGATTAAACAATAATCGATTTGTGATTTCATGGATTCTTAACACAAATGCTTAAAGATCTATATTTGTATCATTATTTGATACAAATGGAGTATTAAAAAAATCAAATTAAATTATAAACTTTGATTCAAATAATGAAGTTGTAATAAATTCAAATGGAATCAATTTTGTTATAGTTTATAAATAAGCTGGATAGTTAGCTGCAACATTTTATAATTTAGAGGGTGAAGAATAATTAAGCAGAACCTACCCAATTTATGGAGTTTCTTCTCCTAGTATAACTTCTAATTCAAAATAAGAATATATAATATGTTGGAGTGAAAATGATAGAATTAAATATTAACTTTTCGGTAGTGATTTGAATCAATAAGGTTATATTTTAGAAGCAGAATCATTAAATACAAAAACAGATAATCCAGATATAACAGCATTTTCAAGTGGTTTTGCAATCGTTTGGTAAAATTCGGATTTATACTCAACCAGATAAAGAAAATTAAGATTATAAATTTTTGATACAAATGGAGTATCAAAAGGTCCTTCTATAGAAGTAAATACAATAACAATTAACACAGAATACCCATAAATATCAACTTTAAGTAATGATAAATTTGCTGTCATTTGGGATGGATAAAAATAACAAAGCGATGAAAAAAAAGGAATATTTATGATGAAATTTGGATCAGATGGTTCTAAAGAATTAATAGATGGAATTGTATGCCCAAATAAATGTAAGAGTTGTTCTTCAACAACAACATGCATTACATGCTCTAATTAATATAAATTATCTGATGGACTTTGTTAACCAGAATGTCCATCTAATTGTAGCTAATGTTCAATACCTGATTTCTGTGATCTATGTTAAGATGGATTCATACTTGATCCATCAGGATTATGTTCAGCTATTACATCAAATCTATTACCTGAAGATCCTTTATTAGCAACTCCATTTGATGAATTACCTAGTTTTTCATCAACTACAACAATTGGTCAAAGTGACGTTTTAGTATATTCAGGAACAGTCACTTTTGAGAATGATTCTTATTTATTAAAGGTGAATCTATAATTGATTGCAGGTGCAAATCAACATGAATTTTCATACTCAATAAAATTAGTATCTTTAAAATCTTAAGTTATGTAATCTGACGTATTAATCAGAGAAGATAATTCAATCTAAATATATTGGGTAGAACTTATAGAAAAAGAAACTTTATTAATAAAATTGATAACAATTAGTTATGAATTAGTAATAGTAGAATATGAAAAATAAATTGATAGTATTCCTTATACTTAATATAAACGAGATTCACATGAAGATTTTGTTACTTATCTATTTTATCAAAATAGCAAATATTATGTTATATTTTCACATTATTCAGAATTGTTGAAATATGAAGTTTACTAATACAGAATAAGTTATGATTACAAAAGAGTAACTAATCCTGAAAGAATATTGGAAATTCAAAGATAAATAAGATTTGGGCAAATTTGCTTTAGTTAGGATTAGATTGTTATTATAGAAATTAATTAATATTACCTGTTGAGATCACATTCATATAGTATAGATTTCACCAATGTTATAATAACAGAAAACTAATTAACTATGTCGGTAATTATTTATGTCTAATCGTTTACAATAAAGAGACTTTATAATAGCAACTTTGTAATTTCTTGGAAGACAGGATCAACTTAGTCATAAAGTTCAAAGAATCAAATCTATTGTACAATCTTAGAGAATAATCTCTGGAGATTTACAGATTACTAATTGGTAGCAAATTCAAATGGAATGCTAGAGAATCCTTAGATTATAGTATTGGAAAGTAGATTTGCAATAATCTGGAATAATTTCATATCAATTAAATATTCTTAATTAAGTATTTCATTTTATGAGGAATCAGGAATTTTCGTATCAGAGACAAAACAAGTGAATACAATTAGTAATAACATAAAATATTACTTTGCTAAAGTGATCAATAGAAATTAGATAGCAATAAATTGGATGGCATCTTATACAACAATAAGCTTATCAATAAAATATTAATATTATTATTTGAGAATTTCAGATTAGAATGAATTATTACCTTCTCCTAATTTGATTTGTATGAAAGAATGTGGTTCATGTTAAAATGAATATACATGTTAAAGTTGTATAACAGATTATGCATTGAATCCTACGACTTTTAAATGTGAAGCATAATGTCCATAAACATGTTTGAAATGCAGTTCTCCAACAATATGTTCAGTATGTAAGGAAGGTTATAAATTGTCAGATAAAAACTAATGTGAGAAGAATATATGTAAAGAAAATTGTTTATTGTGTAATGAATTTGGAGAGTGTTTAAAATGTTCTAAAAATTTCTATGTAAGTTCATAACATATGACTGATTGTATTGGAACATGTGGACCAAATTGTACAGTATGTACATCTCCACCAGTTTGTAGCTAATGCTAAGATTCTTACTATTGGAGTGAAAACAAAACTGAATGTGTTTTATTTGAAGAAGTGATTATAGAGAAAACTATATCTGATCCATTAATTGCAACATTCCCTAATGGAGATTATATTGCAGTATGGTCTGAAGAAGGTCTAGATGCGGGTGTATATTTCTAAATTTACAGAAAGAATGGTTAAAAAGTAGGATCAAAAACAAAAGTAAATATGGATGAATTAGGAATGAGAAGGTTATTATAATCTGTAAATTCAAACAATGTTAAAACTCTCTTTTCAGACGTAGCAACATTTGATTAAGACTTTGTTATTTTATGGGTGGATTAGATTGTTGGAGACATGAAAGTTAAACTAAAAAAATTTGATACCAATGGTTAAGCTATGGGCAAAGAAGTATAAATTGCTTAGATACCAAAATAAGATTTAAATAGTATTGCAGCTCCATGTATTATTAAAAAGACCACAAATAATAATTTTGTTATTGGTTTCTTCAATTAAGTTGAATAATCTATAAATAAGACTGCTACTATGTTTTTATAATCATTTAACTAGACTATGTAACCTATTGGATAAATACAAATGTTAGATAATGCTGATATAACTAAACCACCTATGATATCTAGTGATGAAGATGGTGTTATTTCTATTACATTTTCAAGTGAAGGGGCTACCTTCTTAGCTCAAATTTCAACTTAGGGTGATATCGTAACAGAACCTCAAAAAGTAGATGAAGGTAAAGCATTCAAATCTACTAATTTGAAGAATAAATTTATTGTTTTTATATTTGAAGGAGTTAGTACAAATGTTTCACCTCCACAATATATTCTATCTTATTAGATTATGAATTTAGATAAAATATTGTCTGAAGCTAGAATCTTTGCTAGTCCATAATATGGAGAAGAACATCCATATATTACTGCATTTGGTCATGGCTTTATCATTGCTTGGAGAACTGTTGATAAATCACTCAAATCTAAAGATATCTTGTTTTAAATTTTTGATGGAGATGGAATATAGATTTCTAATTAGACTTAAGTTAATAGATAAGGGCTTTATCCAAAAAATCCTAGTATTTAAATACTAAATGATGAAGAATTTTATATTACTTGGACAGCTACTAATAATAATCAATAAGATAATTTCTATCTTTAACAATTTAAAAAATCAGATTTAATCATTTAAGACCCAATCAATTAAGAAGTTGAATAACCTATTATTTGTCCATTGAATTGTTTATCTTGTTTGAGTAATACGATTTGTGAAAATTGTGTATCAGGATATTATGTTGAAAACAATTTCTGCTAAATAGATTGTGGAATCGATTGTCTTTCATGTTCTATCCCCAATTAATGTGATGAATGCATGCTAGGATATGAAGTCTCACTTAATCATACTTGTGTCTAAATTTAATGTGAAAATGGTTACACTCTCTCTGAAAATATGGAATGTGTACTAACTTGCTCTCAAAATTGCAATCAATGTTAATCTTATGATAAATGTTTGGTTTGTGAAACAGATTACAATTTGTTCAAAGGAAATTGCGTTAAATTTACTGAAGAAATAGATGTAAATGAGGATACTGAGCAATTACCCTATTATTATATTATTCTTATATGTTTAGGAGCCTTATGCTTTTTAGGACTTACGGCTTATGCCATCTGGAGATTTAAATTCAGAAATCCAGTTTAATCATAAAGAAGTCAACAAAGATAAGTTATTGAGGAAAGAGAAAACACAATTTTAGATTCCAGAATCAATTGAGATATATATATTCATTCAAAAATATCAAAATCATAATCTATTTCTTTCTAGATTTTCTTCATTATATTACTTAGTTTATTTTATAATAAGCAGATTAGTTATTATAAATTAGTTCACTTCTCTTATGAATCCTCTAAATTACACTAAATTGAAGAATCCTAATCATTTTTTGATATTTTTGCATTTTATTATAAACTTCTTAGTATTTCATACACTTCGTTTATTACTGGTCTATCCTAGGGTTTATTTTAAGCATTTAGAAATAGTTCTATAAATTTTTAAGGGTACTATGTATTATTAATCTAATTCAGCCAACCGTTTTAACTAAACTCTCATTAATATCATCAAGAAAATGTTTTTGTAGCTATAGTTTTATAGAATTGTCGGATTACAATGAATCCATTTTTTTTCCATTTGATTTGATGAATTTCTTGAAGTTAGAAAAATTAAAAACTCTTTTGATACAACCTGTTGCCCAATTATAAGTATTAGCGCCTTTATTATTGGCTGTAGTTCAGTGGTATGTAAGAGTTCTTGGGTTCGTTATATTTTTAATGATTATCCAATAATAGATGGAATAAGCCATCTAATACTATCTGACAATGATGTAGTACATTATGGTAATGTGTTTTTATGAGTTTTGATTTGACATTCAAGTGTTTTAGGCATAGCAATAATAATTATGATACAATTACAGAAATATCATAAAATTATGATATGTAGAAAATGGTCGGGATAGATTAATCTATTCATAAAATGAATATGATGGAGTTTATCATAGATATACTTTTAATTACTTTAGTCGTTTTGTTTTTGATAATACAGTTAAAATTGTTTTGGTGATGATTATGCTCAATTTGTATATAAGATATTATTTTTGATACTTTTATTGAGAGAAAACTTCAAGAAAGAATAATGATTAAACTATGAAATGTTTTTTATGTGGTATCACAAGAGAAAAATTTGAAAAAATGACGAAGGAGGAGGCATGGGCTTTTAGGAACATATTGAATTTGAACATTACATGTGGAATTACATATATTATTATGCTTATTTGAAACACAAAGATGAAAATGACTTTAATGGAAATAAATTCTATATATAATCTAAGATAGATCTCAAGGATATAAGTTGGATGCCTATTAAAAGGTAATATTTAATTCATATTTTTAGAGCACGATTTGCTAAAGAAGAAATAGAAGGGTAATAAAATCTAGGAAGCTATTGGAATCAAAATGAAAGCCATGAATGATTCATTAGAGAAGATTTAAGATTGAATGAAACATTTTATTGACATTATAAATAATCAACCTGTTAGTATGACAGAAACCTTTCATTGATAGAAAATATCACTTATTAACTCATTTATTTATAGTGATCAAACTTTCTACATTAAGATTTAAATATTCATAATAACTTTATATTAAGAGACTTTATTTAATTAATTGAAGAAAATTTTCTAATATTTAATATATTAAATATATTGAAAATACATTAAAAAATTCAAAATGAAAAAATAGGATAAATTTTCTAATAATTTAAGATTTTGAACTAAGAATGATAATTATGGAAATAATCAAAACAATAATAACAAATTTTTGAATAAATGTCAAAATCTTATAATTTCATCAATATCTAAGCAATATTTCTTAATCTATAATTAATGAACCTCCATAAAGAGCTAATCTTTTAATAGAATATTTTATGATGAAATCAAGTTTTTGATATTACGGATTATTGTTATTTGAAATAATATTTAATATTTATTTTAAAATTGCAAGGGGGTATGTTGTATTGCTATAAAAATGAAATCACATATCCTTTTTTTTTAATATAAATAATTATGCACTATAGCTTATATTATTATGCATTTGTTTTAATATTGGGATGCCACTTAGTTGAAGGAAATCAAAGAATTTTAGCAGAGTCCACTCCTTCTAGTACGAAATGGCAATTTGATTAATTTTCTACACAGGTGGAATAGAATATGTAAACAGTTGTCTTTCCAAATAAATAATTATTATTTGTGTAGAGCCTCGTGGATGAAGATGAAAAGAAATCCATCATTTTATAAAAATATGAGAGAGATGAAACAAAAATTGGAAATGAACTAAAATTTGGTGATTTAAATACAGAATGTATGAGGCCTAAGGTAACGTTAATAAGCAATATTGGGTTTGCTTTAAGTTGGATCGAAAAAAAGATAGAGACAACCAAATTATATATTTAAATCTTAAATTTTGATTTAAATCCAATCACTTAAAAACAAGAAATAAATGATATTCATTTAGAAGTTCATTGGGATTTTGTATCAGAATTTCATTATATATATTATATTAATGAAACTAAGTTATTAATTCTGTACAAAGGTCCTAATAAAACAAAAATATGGCATGGAACCATTTATGACTACTAAGATAATACTAGAACATCTGATGTTAATTTGATCTTTTCTAAGTAAGTGTCTATTGCTGTAAATTAATTATTAGTTATTGTTTTAATACAAAAGATAGAAGATACTTATAGTAATTAAGTTACTATTTTAAATTAAGATGGATAAATTTAAAGAACATTTAAATTATATTAATATTATTATGATATTTAAAGCTTTTAACCAAAAATTACAGCACTTTCAAATAATAATTTTNGTAGCTATAGTTTTATAGAATTGTCGGATTACAATGAATCCATTTTTTTTCCATTTGATTTGATGAATTTCTTGAAGTTAGAAAAATTAAAAACTCTTTTGATACAACCTGTTGCCCAATTATAAGTATTAGCGCCTTTATTATTGGCTGTAGTTCAGTGGTATGTAAGAGTTCTTGGGTTCGTTATATTTTTAATGATTATCCAATAATAGATGGAATAAGCCATCTAATACTATCTGACAATGATGTAGTACATTATGGTAATGTGTTTTTATGAGTTTTGATTTGACATTCAAGTGTTTTAGGCATAGCAATAATAATTATGATACAATTACAGAAATATCATAAAATTATGATATGTAGAAAATGGTCGGGATAGATTAATCTATTCATAAAATGAATATGATGGAGTTTATCATAGATATACTTTTAATTACTTTAGTCGTTTTGTTTTTGATAATACAGTTAAAATTGTTTTGGTGATGATTATGCTCAATTTGTATATAAGATATTATTTTTGATACTTTTATTGAGAGAAAACTTCAAGAAAGAATAATGATTAAACTATGAAATGTTTTTTATGTGGTATCACAAGAGAAAAATTTGAAAAAATGACGAAGGAGGAGGCATGGGCTTTTAGGAACATATTGAATTTGAACATTACATGTGGAATTACATATATTATTATGCTTATTTGAAACACAAAGATGAAAATGACTTTAATGGAAATAAATTCTATATATAATCTAAGATAGATCTCAAGGATATAAGTTGGATGCCTATTAAAAGGTAATATTTAATTCATATTTTTAGAGCACGATTTGCTAAAGAAGAAATAGAAGGGTAATAAAATCTAGGAAGCTATTGGAATCAAAATGAAAGCCATGAATGATTCATTAGAGAAGATTTAAGATTGAATGAAACATTTTATTGACATTATAAATAATCAACCTGTTAGTATGACAGAAACCTTTCATTGATAGAAAATATCACTTATTAACTCATTTATTTATAGTGATCAAACTTTCTACATTAAGATTTAAATATTCATAATAACTTTATATTAAGAGACTTTATTTAATTAATTGAAGAAAATTTTCTAATATTTAATATATTAAATATATTGAAAATACATTAAAAAATTCAAAATGAAAAAATAGGATAAATTTTCTAATAATTTAAGATTTTGAACTAAGAATGATAATTATGGAAATAATCAAAACAATAATAACAAATTTTTGAATAAATGTCAAAATCTTATAATTTCATCAATATCTAAGCAATATTTCTTAATCTATAATTAATGAACCTCCATAAAGAGCTAATCTTTTAATAGAATATTTTATGATGAAATCAAGTTTTTGATATTACGGATTATTGTTATTTGAAATAATATTTAATATTTATTTTAAAATTGCAAGGGGGTATGTTGTATTGCTATAAAAATGAAATCACATATCCTTTTTTTTTAATATAAATAATTATGCACTATAGCTTATATTATTATGCATTTGTTTTAATATTGGGATGCCACTTAGTTGAAGGAAATCAAAGAATTTTAGCAGAGTCCACTCCTTCTAGTACGAAATGGCAATTTGATTAATTTTCTACACAGGTGGAATAGAATATGTAAACAGTTGTCTTTCCAAATAAATAATTATTATTTGTGTAGAGCCTCGTGGATGAAGATGAAAAGAAATCCATCATTTTATAAAAATATGAGAGAGATGAAACAAAAATTGGAAATGAACTAAAATTTGGTGATTTAAATACAGAATGTATGAGGCCTAAGGTAACGTTAATAAGCAATATTGGGTTTGCTTTAAGTTGGATCGAAAAAAAGATAGAGACAACCAAATTATATATTTAAATCTTAAATTTTGATTTAAATCCAATCACTTAAAAACAAGAAATAAATGATATTCATTTAGAAGTTCATTGGGATTTTGTATCAGAATTTCATTATATATATTATATTAATGAAACTAAGTTATTAATTCTGTACAAAGGTCCTAATAAAACAAAAATATGGCATGGAACCATTTATGACTACTAAGATAATACTAGAACATCTGATGTTAATTTGATCTTTTCTAAGTAAGTGTCTATTGCTGTAAATTAATTATTAGTTATTGTTTTAATACAAAAGATAGAAGATACTTATAGTAATTAAGTTACTATTTTAAATTAAGATGGATAAATTTAAAGAACATTTAAATTATATTAATATTATTATGATATTTAAAGCTTTTAACCAAAAATTACAGCACTTTCAAATAATAATTTTGTGGTTGTTTAACCTTATTATGATTGGATAGCACTTTATGTATACGATAATAGATTTTAAGCCATCATTAATAATAATTTGAACAACTATTATTATTATGGATCACCTGACAAACCTCCTGCTACTGCTTATCCTTCTTGGGAATATTATGGCTATTTTAGAAGTGGATTGATTTAATTATAGGCTTTGGAAGATTCATTTGTTATTGTAGGCGTGGATACTTATNTAAGCAATATTTCTTAATCTATAATTAATGAACCTCCATAAAGAGCTAATCTTTTAATAGAATATTTTATGATGAAATCAAGTTTTTGATATTACGGATTATTGTTATTTGAAATAATATTTAATATTTATTTTAAAATTGCAAGGGGGTATGTTGTATTGCTATAAAAATGAAATCACATATCCTTTTTTTTTAATATAAATAATTATGCACTATAGCTTATATTATTATGCATTTGTTTTAATATTGGGATGCCACTTAGTTGAAGGAAATCAAAGAATTTTAGCAGAGTCCACTCCTTCTAGTACGAAATGGCAATTTGATTAATTTTCTACACAGGTGGAATAGAATATGTAAACAGTTGTCTTTCCAAATAAATAATTATTATTTGTGTAGAGCCTCGTGGATGAAGATGAAAAGAAATCCATCATTTTATAAAAATATGAGAGAGATGAAACAAAAATTGGAAATGAACTAAAATTTGGTGATTTAAATACAGAATGTATGAGGCCTAAGGTAACGTTAATAAGCAATATTGGGTTTGCTTTAAGTTGGATCGAAAAAAAGATAGAGACAACCAAATTATATATTTAAATCTTAAATTTTGATTTAAATCCAATCACTTAAAAACAAGAAATAAATGATATTCATTTAGAAGTTCATTGGGATTTTGTATCAGAATTTCATTATATATATTATATTAATGAAACTAAGTTATTAATTCTGTACAAAGGTCCTAATAAAACAAAAATATGGCATGGAACCATTTATGACTACTAAGATAATACTAGAACATCTGATGTTAATTTGATCTTTTCTAAGTAAGTGTCTATTGCTGTAAATTAATTATTAGTTATTGTTTTAATACAAAAGATAGAAGATACTTATAGTAATTAAGTTACTATTTTAAATTAAGATGGATAAATTTAAAGAACATTTAAATTATATTAATATTATTATGATATTTAAAGCTTTTAACCAAAAATTACAGCACTTTCAAATAATAATTTTGTGGTTGTTTAACCTTATTATGATTGGATAGCACTTTATGTATACGATAATAGATTTTAAGCCATCATTAATAATAATTTGAACAACTATTATTATTATGGATCACCTGACAAACCTCCTGCTACTGCTTATCCTTCTTGGGAATATTATGGCTATTTTAGAAGTGGATTGATTTAATTATAGGCTTTGGAAGATTCATTTGTTATTGTAGGCGTGGATACTTATAATTTTATTTTTAATTTAGTTCATTTAAATAACAAGAATTTAGAATTTATTTAACAAAGAGTAATTAATTATGAAGATTTGAATATTTATAAATATTCAATTTAAAGATCAGGTAGTAATTCTATTTTTGTATAATGGATTGATGGAATGCCAGAAACCCTGCTTCCTTAGTATAAGTAAAATTTATACTTATCTGAATTAAACTTATAATTGAATATTGATGATTGTGGTGCTAATTGTGATACTTGTCAAAATGGTTTATGTAAGCAGTGCTAATAAAACTTTTCTTTGGTTGATAATATTTGTTAGCCATAATGCATTTAAAATTGTTAAAAATGCTCAAATTAAATTGCATGTGAACTTTGTCAAGAGGGATTTATTTTAACGGGTATGCTTTAATGTATTGAGAATAATAGTAATAGTATATCAAATGGAGAATTAAGAGTCAGTCTCTCTGAAACAACATTTAAAGAAAATTCTAAATTCACATTATTACCTGATAGAAGAGTTATTATAATCTATTAAGAACAAAACTAAGAGTAGCAATTTTTATAAATAAAAGTCTTGAATGCAATAGGCTAAACAATCTTATAATAAACATTAGATGGTGAAGATGTCTTGAATTTTGATTTATTCTATAAAGAAAATGTTCTGCATTTATTTTTATTAAAATAAATCTCAACAAAATTAGGAATTATCTACTTTTAGTTGTAATTATCAGACTTACAATAAATCAAGCAAATTTAATTATAAGGTTACGAAAATGAAGGTTTATATAATATCTCATAACTAACAACTGTTTTTAAAGTATTAGATACAAATTAAGTTTTTACTATTTTTATATAAGGCGGCTTTTAAAATTATTATTATCAACGAGTTCTATCTTTTACTTATGATTATTATGGAAGCCTAAAAAATTCATTTTTTTATGGAGAAATTCATGTTGGAAACATTTTTTATTATTAAAGAAAGAAAATTTTTGATGCAGTCGTTGATGAAATTGGAAACATTAATGTATTATTAACAAGAGAATGTGAAGCAAAATTATATGTATTAGATCAATTCGGAGGGATTATTAATGAAAAGTATTAAAGTTATTGGAATTATTGGAATTGTAGATATTTATAAAATCCATCGATTTCAGTTGTTCCAAAAACAAACTAATTAATGATAGCTGTTTAAGATCTAAATAGCAAGTTGTATATTTTTAATTGGCAAGAGGATGTTTTATATTCTTCTTAATTTAATTAAAAAGAAGGTAACCCTTAATTAAAAGCTTTAAATTCAAATAATTTTGTATTAATTTATGAACAATACAATTTAGATGGTAATTTTAAAACATTAAACTATTTACATTAAGAGAATGGAATCATTAAAAATAAATTAATACTTAATTAGAATTCCATTCAACCTGGATTTGTTGAAATAGAAAGTTTTGATTAAAAATATTTATTTTTCTCTATGATAGCTTTTAAAAATAGTGGAAATTTATCTACTAATTAAATATATCTTTAATAGATATCTGTAGAAGTAGATTAATTAGTTGGACTAATCAATATATGTGAAGAAAACTGTTCATAATGTGATGATAATTTAAAGTGTTCTTAATGTAAGGCTAATTATGTTTTAGATACTCAAAATAAGTGTTAATTGGTTTGTTTAGATAATTGTTCTTATTGTGAGAAAGTAAATGAATGTGAGATTTGTAATGAAGGATATTAATTAAATAATGATAGAGAATGCAATTAAGCATAGTTAAATTCTTATGTTAAATTATAAGACCACTTAAATAGAATTGAATCAAATTCATAAATTGCTATAGCTAAAAATGGAAATATAATAGTAACTTGGATGGAACATGACACTATTGAAAATGTATACTATTCATTTTTTAAAGTATTCAATTCTCATGGAGAATAAATAAGAAGTGATTCAATCTTTCCTTATGAAAATACAATTTTACCAAAAGTTAAAACTTTTGGAGACTATTTAATTTTTTCTGTTATAAGACATAGAGATTTAGCTTTTAATGTTATTGATTCCAATGGCAATTTCATAACTGACTGGAGATGGGTTTATTATATTAATGATTATATAAATTACGATGAGATGGATTAATTTTAATATGATATAGCAACAAATGGCTAAAGCCACATTATTCTTGCAGTTCAGAAGTAAATTTCCTATGATCATTTTGGGATTTAATTAATAAGATTTTCTTTTATTTATTTCAGGAATGAAATAAGATAAGAGACAATGAGAGAATATGATACAAATAGCCAAAGAATTAAAAACCTAGAAATATAAATTGATGCAAATTTTATTTATTATCAATTTTAAAGCTTTTAAATGGATCCATTAGGTTTTAATTAAGCAACAACTAATTTTGCTTAAGTAAATTATAATCTTGACGACTATTTAAATGAAGTAATTGATAGGGAAAGTTTCTATAAAATCTTAACGTCTCAAACTAAAATTTAATTTATAAAATATGAGAGAGATTTTGAAATAAAATATTTTTAGTACAATTCTTAAATTTAAAGTTAATATATATCAACTGGAATGATAATTGATAGTATAAAGGCTGCTTTATATTAAGATTAAATTGTAGTATTATGGATAGGATAAGAAATGGATTAAAGAAAAATGTTTATTTAATCATTTTCAATAAATGGAACAATATCATCAACATAAGTTTAATTGCCTGTTTTTAGTAACTATCCAAGCAATCCTTAAATAGGATGTTTAGAAAATGGAGATACAATAATTACATGGTAAGAATAAGAGGCTTCAGAATACACAATATTCGCAGTCAAATTTAATAAACATTTGTAACTGATACCACTCACTTCAGTGACATGTATGTAAAATTGTGAAACCTGTATGACAACAACTTCTTGTTCAAGATGCTCTAATAGTTATTATTTTGATGGAATTAAATGTAGATTATAGTGTAATTCAGATTGTTAACAATGTACTGTTAGAAATGTTTGTGATATCTGTTAACCTGGTTATTATTTAAAAGATAATTATTGTTAATTTGATTAAACAATGGTAGAAGAATAGCGAATAACAACAATAGAAGATTATTAATTGACTAGAACTTCAATAAACAGTTTTTCAGATAGTAGTTTTGTAGTTGTCTGGAATGATAAATTGAATTCTATCTAAACATTATATTTTTAGTTTTATGATAATAATAGATAAAAATAAGGAGAAGTTAGGCCAATAGTTTGGTAAAATGATAGATAATATGCTTAAGCTGTTACTTTAGCTGATGATAAATTTTCAATAGTTTGGTTTGAGGGAGATTGTAATATCTAATGTAGATTAGTTCTTCAAATTTATAATAAAGAATTGATAGAATAAATTACTGAAGTAACTATTGATAATTTAGCATTACCAAATGCCTATGATTAAAAACCTGTTGTTTTAAAAAGATAAGATAATAGATTAATTATTGCATATATTTCATATAGAGACTCATAAACTTATGGGTATTTCGCTATTTATGAAATTGATAATCTCGTATTATTGAATCCATAAATTATTGAAACTACAAGTAAAGTGGATAATTTAGACATAATAATTTACAATCCTTAGATATATATAATATTATATGTATGTGATGGAAAGTAATTAAAAGGTTTGAGAGTTGAAAAAGATGTAGGAGAATCAAATAAAATTATTTATGAAAGTGGAAATACTCTCTATACTCCAACTCATGTTGTTAATTAATGTGGAAGTATTGTTTTAGCATGGAGTGAATCAATTCTAGAGAATTAATAATACATCAAACAAATTAAGATAGGTTTTATAGATAGTTATTTGAATGAAGTAGCTGGTAATATGC